GCACATAATATGTCTGATGTACAAGCTTTACATTTTTAAATGTCTAACTTCTTGACTTTAAAAGCAAAGACACAGAGATATAGGGATTTTCAACAGCTTTATCATCTTTGCAATAAAGTCAGTAGAAAGATTCTTAGTGAATTCAGTGGTGGTACAATTAGGCCTAACATCTCTGTAAACTTGTGTACTCTTATCACTTAAATGTCATCTCTACTATCAAGCTTCATGGTACAACTATTTTAAAACCTATTTCTAAAGTATTCTCTCTTTTTTCATCATTCTAAATATAAGCACTTTCATAAATAAGGGTGGATTCCTCCTGGCTGTCAATCCAACACATGAAGTGTGGGTGGAGGATTTTCAGGCACTGAATGTAAGAAAACTATCTTGTTTATGTCATACTGTCTGTCTAGACACCATCAACTTGTTGAAACTAGTCTCCCTTATACATACTGCCAAGTTGACATCATCAGGCAGACTCAATTTCACTCATAATCATGCATGAAGATTTTCTAATGCAAATATTTCTCCTCCTTAAGACTAAAAGAGAAAAGAACTTTTTTTAAAAGAAAAAATGCACAGATGCTTCCCTCTTTTCAACCGAGTTGGAGATTTCTGTCATGTTTGAGTCCTTCAGGCATACCCTATCTTAGTACTACACCACTGATACTAACCAGTTCTACAATATTCTTTGCAAAAATATTTGCAATACAAAAGTTGCCATGATTCCAACTCTAGTTATTAAAACAAAATGTTCGGTTCCACTATTTATGTGTTACATTTCTGACACTTCCTATAAAATATTTATTAAATGTTCCTAATCTTAGGCTCCTGCCAAACGTGCAGGTAAAGGCATGATGGGATATGATGCACATCTTACATGTATGTGGCAGGAGGCATGACTGTGGGATCATGATTCAGATTCCATTACACCTTATTGCTGGTTAAGGGGAGCCCAAGACTGTGATCCTGGGCTCCCTCTGCACTGAAAACAGCAAGCTCCCATGGCTGGGAGCCTCCTTAGTTGACAGGGCTCCCAACTGTAGGAGCAGATGGTGCACCCCCATGGCTGTGGACCCCATCAGCAGAGGGTAACAGCCACAGAGCCGCACCTGGCCACATATTGAATTAATGGTGTGACAGGTAGCAGCCACAAAGTTATCATGCATTTTTTTTGTGGGATAACTTTGTGGCTTATCCCTTATTTTATCACACCTTTAATTGATTGAACGTGTACCCAGGTCACAACTTAAGATGCGATTAACTGGTTAGTCACATCTTAAATGTAACATGTAGCAGGGGCCTTTGGCCGCCTCTGCACTTAAGGCACGATTAACCAGGTAATCATGCCTTAAGTTGTGACCCAGCTATACATTCAACCAATTAATGGTGTGGCAAAACAAGCAATAAGCTACACAGTTATTCCACAAAAAAATGGGTATAATTTTGTACCTTGTTCTAATCATACCAGTAGGTGAACATATGGCCTGGTGCTCCCCTGTGGCTAGGGGACCCATCAACCAAGGTACTCCCAGCCACAGGGACGCAACAGCTGCTGCCAGCCCCGCAGATGACAAGGCTCGCAATGGTGGCATCATTGTCAGTTGTGGGGCCTGCAGCAAGGAGAATGGTGACCCTGCTGCGAGCCTCCCCAACTGCAGGGCTTGCAGCTGGTGTAGCGTCTTCAGCTGTGGGGCTTGCAGCAGGGGCAGAAAGGAAAACACTTCCAATGCTCTAAGCCTTGTGAGGTGCAGGGCTCACAGCAGCAACAACATTCCCCCACACTGCCCCTGCTGCAAGTGCCACAGCCAACACCATTGCAGGGCTCACAGTGGGGACAACAGGGGCTCACAGCAGTGTCTGTGTTCCCCCACACTGCCCCTACTGTGAGCACCACAGCCGACATCGCTGCAGGGCTTGCAGTGGGGGCAGCAAGGAGAACACTGCCCCCACCTCCAGCCTCGTGACATGTAAGGGTCACAGTGGCATCAGTGTTCCCCTACTGACCTTGCTACGAGACCCGCAGCCCACGTTGCCTGTGGAGCTTATGTTGGGGGCAGTGCAGGGAATATGACCTCCACTCTAAGTCCTGTCGAGCCCCATCAGGGGCAGGGGAGTCAGAGATTATGATGGGCACCACTGATAGGCACAATGGGATCTAATACACGATCCCACAATCATGCCTCCTGCTACTGAAATTGAATATTGAAAGAACAATGGAAATATTTTCATTGCATCTTCGTAACTGTACTTCTAGTATCTGTGGACTCGTCCAAAAAACAGGCATTATGCTTTCCCCAGTCACTAATTATACAAGACAAAATGAGAATTTTCTGTAAGTGCATCTCTTTTGAAAGGCATGCACAAAAAGGTGATCCTTGTTTTCACTTATATATGTATAAAAACATGACTCACTTATTCATGTTTTTGGATGAGTCCACAGATACTAGAAGTACAGTCAGGAAGACCCTATATATATTTGTGCTTTCAAAAGAAATGAACCTACATAAAATTCTCATTTTGTCATATCTATCTATAGATATGTATATATATTAGAGATCTGAGATTAGATTAAAGTGAGGAGTGTATGTGTAGAAGGCAACACATCTCATTACAAAATGCCTGTCTCAAGACTGCAGATATTTCTGCAAAAGTAAGACCAAAGGTAATAATGTAAAGGAGATATATATATATTTTGTGAGTACTTGCTCAGATTGTGCTAGTCATATTCACACCCATTTTACATTCCTGTACCAGGAGTATTCACTTTATTGAGTTTCTGTCACAGTGAGCTTGTCAAAGACTATGTTGTAGTCTCATGCTCAAATGCAAATAACAAATTTTAAACTCATTATGTGAGTACTTGCACTAGATGTGCTCTCTCACACTGGATAACGCACTGATTGACACATCAGGAGACTCTCACCAGAGACATGAGCACACAGAAAATTTAGCTGAGCAAAGCTTTCATTGACGACTTCCCAATTTAGACTCCATGCACTGTTAATTTTCTGCGAATTTGACAAATGCTAATTAATTTAAACTCTCCTGCCAACTTCCTCCAAAAAACTATTTTTTTCTTGAAATGACAGCTCAGGCAATATTGGGTTCCCAGAATGAAAACATTTATGTTTTTACAAGATTCCCTAATCCTTCTTATCTCCTTTCTCTCTTTGTAAGAATCAAAGCCTTTTTCGGCATGTGTGCTGATCATAAGAGTTACACTCATCCAGTCAGGGAACATAAAACAATGTTATGTGAGTTTAAACAACTGCAACAACTAACCAACACAACATGATTTCCAAACAAAGTATCAGATACATATAGCAAAATATCTCTGATCAATCCACAGAGTTACCAAAAAGTGCATGCTTATAAAAAATGGTAAAATACATTTGAGTAGAGATGATCTTTCTGTGAGCAGAACAATTTCCAAAACTTGTCAAATATTTGCTGCAGATTATTTCCTCAGTTCTACCTGATATCTGATATCCCTAGAAGCACCATGGAAAATAAAGAAATTATATTTCCTCTGCTAGAAAACACTCATTCCCTAGAGTAAGAAAAAAAATAATTGTACTGGATTAGAACTGAAATCACAAGGCAAAGACCTTTAGAAGGATAGAAACAGCTTCTGTTCAGATAGAAGTCTTCTTTGTTCTGCCATTTACCAATGAATAGTGTAATTTTCAAAAACCAGTTTTGGTAAACTTAGTAATGAAAAAATAATCAACAAAAATTCTTTAGAAACATGTGGAAAAATCAAAATGCAGAAGTGCGAACAACTTTTTTACCAGTAGGTTTGGACCAAGAATACTTCTTCAGGCAAAAACTTTGGCCAATCCTACTAACTTCACAACTTCTATAGGAGCCAAGATTCCACTGGCTGCCTGCCCAGTGTTTTAATATAAAAAATAGGGCTGTCAGTTAATCGCAGTTAATTTACACAATTACCGCAAAAACAAATTAACATGTTAATTTTTTTCATTGCGTTAATTGCGCACATCATTTTGACTAGTGAAATGGACCAGCCAGAACCCATGCCCTGCCCCACGTTTACTCCAGACTCACCCGCTCACACTGGGCAGTGGTGGCAGCAGCAGAGGCTGGGCAGAACCTGCTACTTGACAGGAGGGGAAAGTGGCCCCTGTCCCTCACTGCTGCTGGGCTCTTCTTCCTGCAGCTACCCAGAGCCCAGGCCCAGGCTGCCCTGCAGCTCTTCTTTGCTGCTGTCACCACCTCCTCTAGGCCACCCAGTGGGGCAGAGGTGGCATTGCAGATGGCTGCAGCAACAAGGGCCTGGCAACAGTGAGAGGGAGGGACCACTTTTCCTTCATGCTGAGCAGCAGCTTCTGCCTGGCTGCTACCACTGCTCAGTGGGGCAGGTGAGTCTGGAGCAGAGGTGGGGTGGGCCAGGGTTGGGGCTGTTCTGGTCTGCTCCAGCTGGGGCGAGTCCAGAGTGGGCATGGGATGGGCCAGAGTTGGGGATGGGGCTGTGCATGGGGAGCAGCTGCAGGGCACACAGGCTCCGAGCTGTAGGGTAAGGGGTGCTGACTATTGCTTAACTGTTAATTAAAATTGCAATTGTTTGCAACTTTTCTTTTAAAATCTTGCAATTAATTGCAATTAATTTTTTTAATCATTTGTCAGCCCTAATAAAAAATCTTCCTGAGTTCCTGGAGATGCAGCCCATGTGGCTCCTAGATAAAAACTAGAAACACTGCCTTAGATATTCAATCAGATATGAACAATACTATCAAGTGTTGCTGACCTTTGAGACTTCCTCCATTCACTCCCAAACATCTGCCCAGTTTTTAGGCCCATTAAGCTTTAGCTTCTGAAGAGAGCATGGGAGGAAACACTCAGCACATAGATGGTGTCCCCAACTTGCATGTGCTTCCCAGACAGGACCCACTCTGACCACAGAAACAAAAGGGGAGAATGGATCCTATCTTATTTATGCTGTCATTTTTTATCCCTAATGTTGATCTCTGGTTTACCTGACCATCCAGGGAGGCAGCGACAATACCCAGTGGTTGGATGACAGCCATCTGCATGGCTGCAGTCACAGCGTTCAGCACAATCCATCCCATACGTGCCATCCTGTCAGAACAAAAACACAAAACTGGAATAATGAGAACTAAAGAGCGCTAGAAGAGAACAAGTTCTCATCAGTCCTCTCTCAAGCAGCAACAATAGCTTTCCCTCTTTTGATTCCTTAATCAGCTTGCTTAAGATAAAACACCTTTTTGGCTTTCAATAAGCTACAAATTCCGCATTTTCATTCCTTTATTCTAGAGGTTAAGGGGAAACGTTAATTAGACTCTTTTGACAGATCTGAAACCGACAGTTTGGGAGATTACAATGTTCTATTCACAAAAAAAGTCATCATGTAGTCAGTAGCAGCACCAAAATCTCCCTTGCGTTGTCCTCTGATTTCCTTCAAATCTGACCAAAGACCTAGAGGGATCTTGAATATGAAAATAATTCAGTGCCTATACTGGTTCATGCCTTGAACTCTCTTTTCAGACAACCACAAAGGATGCTATTTAGTACCAAAATTTAAAAGGAACTCAGGATAAATTAGATTAGTCATAACAAATGATAACTTTTTAGCTTGCAATAACACTAGAATTGGATGCACATGCATACACACACATATGCATATATAGAGTACATTTGCTTATATATATTTTAGCTTGCAGTAACACTAGAATTGCACGTATCTGTCTATAAATCTATCCTCTCCCTTTTTATTAAAATTCTTTTTCTGCTTTAAAAACATGACAAAAGAAAGATTTCTCATTCTAAAAAGAGAGAAGACAATAATGCAAAACAAGTTTAATTTTCAATACTGTAGCTTTTCTGTGAATTGATGGAAACCAGGCCCATTATGGAATTGGAATTTAGGGTCAAATTCACCCCTTGGTTTTATCAGTAAAAGTCAGCTGACATTCATTTAATTGTATCTGTGGGTATGTGCATACATTCACTGTACCAAATCTATAATCACATGATTTACTTCAGTTTCATCACACAGTTTACTTTAAACTGTGTGACTGTAGATCAGAAGCAGCTTGTGCCCTTGTTTCCTGGAGTCATACTGGAAACTCAGTCTAAAAAGGAGAGATGGGTAGGATCAGGGGGCTGAGGAGTCTGCAGTGGGTGGTGTTATCTGTCTGTGGGTGGCAGGGTTAAGGGGGCTAAAAAGAGCCTAGTAAGATGGAGGCGGTAGGAAGAGTGCAGACCCAGCACTGGCATGAGCAGTTGAACTTTCCTAGCCTTGGGGCTGCAGTCTGAGGCCATGTCCAAATGAGCATGGACGTTTGGTTCCCTGGGAACAAGTAGCAGTGACACACCTTGTGCTGCAGCTACTTGTCCCCAGGGAACGTCCATGCCACGTGCACTTTGGCTTGCGGCAAGTTACCCCAGGTGGGGTAGAGAAGGCTGAGGCCAGCACTGTGCTAGCCCCAGCAGCCTTACCTGGTGTCCTGGGGGCCTCCTGGGGCTGCAGCAGCAGTGATCCCACCAGGCAGAGCCCAGCTGGCAGCTATAGTGTGGTTCCGGGTGGCCCAGCTCCACTTTTCAGCAGGACATGCTGCCCATACATGTGCTGCTCCGGGTTTTTTTTTCAGTGGATTTTGGATTTTCAGGGGTCAAAAAAAACCATGGAAAAAAAATGAGGACTGTATGCACAGGCAGCACACCCTTGCAAGTGCAGAGAACACCTGACTGTGTGGTATGTGGCACTACAGACGTGCTTGCAGCACCACATACTGCACACCTGCGCACATCTGGATGCGCCCTGAATGGGTGCAGACAGTCAGTAGATCAAGCTAATCCCTTCCCAATCTAATTTAGTTCACCTCCGCAGGTATACTAATTTAGATTAGGCTGCCATTTTTTGCCTGATCTAACCTCTCCAAACATTTGTACAGATCAGCACTTGTACAGACCTCACCCTACTTAGGTTGATCTAAGTGTAATATGTGCATGTATCCTTTATCTTTGAATTTGGCTTTTGGTTAGTCAAAGTGAGTCTGTAGAACCCTTCTGTCTGGCAAAGCTTCACAGTACTGGGGCTTCAGACTACAGGGCTTACATGTGAATTTTAGAGATGACAACTTCTCACCAAGGCTGTCACTGAAGTTGAGGAAGAACACTAGAATCACCTTCCCATTAAAAACACCCAAATATTATTGTAGTTGAGAGGAGGGGCTAGGGCCAGGATGAAATAAAAGGCAGACTACATAGAATTATTTGTGCTTATGTGCTAAAAGCCAGTAGTCAAGAAGGCAGGCAAGATGGGAGGAAGGAATTCCACATAAACTAGAAAAAACCCTTGACACACCCTGCTGTTTAAAAGTCTATTTCAGCACAGTAATCTAAATTTCTAGGCTAAAAAAATGGTCACTGTCACTTTAATCTTAATTTAGGATGCACTGCAAATTCTAATCTGCTGTCCTCATGATTTTCATGCCTACATTTTTATACAGTTCCGTAGGGTTTAATCATCCAGCTTTCAATCTTTCAATTCCAATGTAAAACAACATTATATGTTACTCAACAGTATGCAGTACATTGCTTATGTCACTAATCCATGTTAACATAAAGGAGAAGAAAAGATTAAGGGCAGCACTTCCTTTGCATATAATGAGATTTGTATAGTAAGTAAATTCTTCCATATATTTTGAAAGGCAGCAACTTGGAAGTAAGACACAACAAAAATAAGACTAATCAAACTTCACTCAGGTCTTGAGTAATGATGTTGGCTTTTTATAATAATGGAAAGATGTATTCTAGGCATATTGGAACAGAAGAATATGCACAAACCTAAATACACACCCTGAAACTAAGTATATCCTCTAATCTCTGTTTTAAGAGAGAAAATATAAGTCAATTTAATAATCAATCTGGAAGTTTAAATTAACCTAAATGCCTTGTTTGTAAAAATATATTCATATAACAAAAGTGAGACAGAAAATTTTCCGGAAAGCATCACTAATGGACAAATAAAATCCTTACTCTCATTAATATTAATAAGAACAACACATCATAGTTTCATAGTAGGTAGGGTTGGAAGGGACCCAATAGATCATCAAGTCCGACCCCCTGCCATGAGCAGGAAAGAATGCTGGGGTCAAATGACCTCGGCTAGATGATTATCCAGACTCCTTTTGAAGACCCCCAGGGTAGCAGCGAGTACCACTTCCCTTGGAAGTTGGTTCCAGATCCCAGCTGCCCTGACTGTGAAGTAGTGCCTCCTGATATCTAGTCTGAATAATAAATAATAATTAATATTAATAATTCTTATCATTAGTCTTACTATTAATAAGAATAAAAGGGATTGTTGTTCTTATTGTTGTTGGTTGTTATTATTAAAATAATATTAATAGTTTCTTTTCAACTGCATGTTCGGCATGGGACAACACCCAAAGATAAAAATACAGCCCCATTCTTAGGATTTAACAGTCTAAAAAAAGGCATGGTGACAAGACATAGCTGAATACTTACATTTATATTGATTTTTCTGTTTATTCTTCTATTATGGTATTTTGAGGCAGAAAAGGGCATCTGAATTGATTATCTGGGGTATAGTTTTCCTGAAAATAGTGGTCTTGGTTTAGTGGAATAATAGCTTTGAAGCAGTAACTTTCCCTTAAGGAGCCTATACTGGAAAGCTGCAATGCAAGCTAATAGATATTGAGGGAATTCAGCATCTTATAATCACAGAATTATAGAAATGTAAGGCTGGAAGGGACCTTCAGAGATCATGTAAACCAAACCCCTACCTGAGGCACGATCATCTGTATCCAAACCTTTCTATACAAATCCACTATCTAACCTATTAGTAAAACTACAAGTCAATCCTGACACACACAAAGCATAACACACCAACCTGCTACAGGTAAAGCAGAAAGACAACAGTGGCCAATGTCCAGCTGCTGGGTTGTTAAAAAGTGTTGGGAGACCTTGAAGAATTAGTATACGTGGCCCCTGGCAGACATTAATTTAATCACATGATGCAATCTGAAGAATTTTATACCAGATCCCAAAAACCATATATTCTGACATTCTCAAGATCTGGAATAGCAGGACAAGTGATTTTGGAGATCTGAATTCATCATATTCCGTTGCATGCCTGCTAGTACTCAGGGTGCCGAGCACCAGAGACCAGCTCCCTGGTGCCGGGTTACTTGCACACCCTTTAAACTTGCCAATGCATGGGAGCTGACACCCTACGCTGGGCTGTCCAAGCACCTGGACCTTTAAAGGGCGCACACACAACCCAATATTAGGGAGCAGCTCCCCAGTCCAGGATCTCTGCATGCTCTTTAAGCTAAGTAATATACCGTGTGGTCAAATTAAAGAAGGATACAAATAAGCAACAAAAATGTTCCACATTTACCAAGTAACATTTTTGTGGTTGGTTCATCCTTTTTATAGATAAATAAATTGCTTGAATGTGTTGTGTGTTACAATTTTACATGTAATTAACATGTTAATTTCACAATAAATGTAATGTTTGCAAGGGGCCAAAGTTAGCACCCTGATAAAGTAGGCTGCCACCTATGAAAGCTTTTGCCTCTGTAATCCAGTTAGAGTCTAATGTGTTCACGGATGCAGTGCCGGGTGCTTTAATTAGTGAGCTGCGCTAATTAAAAGCACTCACGTGTCATGTGTATGAGCCTCACCACACGTCCCCATGCTGAAAAAGGTGGTGGGGATGCGTTTTATTTCCAAGCACCCCACCGCCATTTTGTCAGCGCAGAGATGTACAGCAACACTGATACACTTGACACACAAGGCTGCCGGAGGACATCAATCTCCGTGCTCCAGCAGACTTGATTAATCAAATCTGCTCCAATATGCTGGATTTCCAGCACATCGGAGCAGGCTCCCTGCATGTGTTTAGGAGCCTTAAGGTACCATCCTGCCCTGCTTTTTTCAATATGATAGAAAAGATAGCTTTAAAGGAATCAGATCTCATTTCCTATTAGATGAATTCACATATTATTGGAATCAATATATGTGCCTGTACTGTTAGTAGTTTAGTATTGTGAATGTTGAGAATAATATTTAATTTTAGTATAAGCTATACTGCATGTAAAAAAAGCAAGCAGCCCCTGAAAAACGTAACTGCTGAGTGCCTCTGAAGCAGTGCAGGGCAGATTCCATTAAACAGCAGGGGCATGGCCTTTACTCATATGCTGTAACCTAGCTACTCCCACCATGTTACTGCAAATAAGGGAACCAGGCCAAAATGGCGAAAGCTCAGAAGCGCCTTTGTGGAGAATGTATAAGGTTCAAGTTCAAGTCAGATAATTCTCTCATAATTTTATTATCCCAAGGCTTTCATGTATCCAGTGAAAAAAAGTAAGAGAGAAACTAGAGGAAAATAAGAAAGAGAAACCAGTCAGAAATTTTCCAACAAAATATTTTCTTGAAGAGGGATTCATTGAAAACATTTTATCCATATAAAAAAATGTAATTCTTGACACTTTTTTAGTTTTCTGAAATGTAAAACCAAAATGTTTCATTTTGAAATTGTATATATATTTAGTGTGTGTATACACACACACGAGACACAGAGTATATATATTTACTTTCCCTCTAAATTCATCACGTTCAGAAAGAACATAACAGTTTTCATGTTATTGTTAAAATGAAAACGTTTAATTTAAAAGTGAAATGCATTTTGAGTTCCTGCCTTCTTACATTTTTCCACCTAGAAACCTGTAAGAAAGAGAGGTGGAAAACCTACTCTCCTACATTTTATACATTTCCTGCAAGAAAACTGAAATTTTCCAGTGGGAAAATTTCAAAAGGGTAGAGCAATTCATACTATAGTTTTCCAGGGAGAAATTTTAGTTTTCGAACTGGCTCTAAAAAAGCCTTCAGCAAAAGGAAGGTCTATAGAAGAATGAGAGATTAAAAGAATAATCATGCATTCTGAAAGCAGATAAAGAATGTATATTGGACTGATAGAGCACAACACTGCTGGTACAACAGGTTGGAAGGAATGAGATGAAGTAAAGCTTACACAAGAAATCAGTTTTATTAGGCACCTTCCTGTCTGACTTAGTGTACCCCAAAGATACTGAGCTCAGGCCAGCTCCAAATTGATTAGATAACGTCTATTAAAATACTGGGTTTTGACGTTCCTTGAATGATGGCTTAAAATTGGACTTATTGTATTTGAAGAAGACATAGATACTTTCTTCTCTCAGTCTCAGTTCGAACTTCAAAGTAAAACCTGTGTCCAGACGAGCGCAGCCATGTAGTATGTGGCACCACAGACACGTCTGCAGTGCCACATACTGCACATTGTGTTGTTCTCTGCACTTCAAGGGAGCAGCACAGAGGGGGTTTTTGACCCCTGGATATCCACACAAAAAAAAGTAGAGTGGTGCACATGGAGGTAGCATGCGCCACCCAAAGGCAGAGCCTGGCTGGCCGGAGCCTCACTCTGCTGCCTGCCATGCTCCATGCAGCAGGATCACTGCTACTGCAGTCCCAGGAAGCCCCCAAGACCCCAGGTAAGGCTGCTGAGGCCAGTCCAATGCTAGCCCCAGCCTCCCCTACCCCACCTGAGGTAACTTGTCACATGACAGAGTGCACATGGCATAGGTGTTCCCCAGGGACAGCTAGTGGCAGTGCAAGGTGTGCTAGTTGTCCCCAGGGAACCAAACATCCACACGTCTGAACGTGGCCACTGAGGCAATTTGGTGACATATGATTTACACTGCTGCAACCAAGAGCAGAATCTGGCTCTAAGAGACTTTTAAACAAATTCTAGAACAGACAAAGAAATACAGGAGATCAATATTTCAAGCATTGAGGCACAGAAGAGCCCAAAGGAGTGGGACCTGCAGGCAGCAGTTGGACCGTGGCATGCAGCCGGCAGGAGAGGCTCCCAGCTGGGCTCCAGAATTGCCTACGAACGGATGCAGCCAGCAGGAGAGGCTCCCCCACTCCAGCAAGGATCTGAGCAGCGACCTGAGAGGTTTCCAGCTCTGCTTCCAGCTCCTCCAATAAGAGGCCTGGCAGCTCAACATGAGGCTGGGGCTCCAGGAAGGTCAAGACCCCTAGCAGCTTGGAACAGCACCAGCACTGAGTTTCTGTCCAATGTGTGCGAGATCTGAATTCAAGTCCCAGGTGGGGTGACTTGGGGTGAGTGAACTAATAGGGAGAAAAAGTCTTCTTGCAGTGGAAAGGGGCCCCTGTGTTTTCCCTCTCCAGGTACCTAGACCCTATATTCCTTGTCATTTGACATTTTGTATTTTGTGCCTTTTATATTTCACCAACCAGTATTGTTTGTTCTACTGTTTGTGTTTGACATTTTGGTTAATGCTGTCTTTGGTCAACTGGATGAATATGTCTGTAATTGTAAATGTCTAACCTTTGTTGGTTCCTGCCCCCTTGGGGCATTGTAGTGTCCCTATACCCCCTGGTTTATACTAGTTATGTTCCCAGTATTGTGCTCTCATTAAAAGGTATATGGTTAAGTCCCCATTGGTGGTCTGGCTCTGCTCTATAGGGAGAGGAGAGACCCTACATCTCCCACAGCGCTTGTGCACCTGCTTTGATCCCTTCAATTGGAGAGCGGGTACCTCTTGGAGTACTACCCGAGTTACATGAAAATAGCCTCACCGAATACAACAGTACTAACCAAAGCTGGAAATGTTTGCAGTGTTGTACCACTTATAACAGTTCCCTATTATGTTCAGTATTCACTGAAATGGATTTAAATTACCTGGCAAGGAAGTTCACATTTTTCCCCTCTCCAGCCTGGAGCACAGGTACATGTTCCATCCAAAGCATTACATGCCCCTCCATTAAGACACTGGCAAGTAATGTTACAGCCAAGACCCCATGTGCCACTGGGACAGTTTATTGAACAATCCACACCATGCCAACCTAGAAAAATAAAAAATGGATTAAAATTAAACAAGGGCATATTTTCCCTCCTTAGCTGTGGGACTGCCACTTGGAATCCCTCAATAATGCACAGCAGCAGAAGTAAAACTCACTAAGTTGTATCCCTTCCAGCAGAAGACTTGCCCAAGTTCAAACAAAAGTGCCCTTGAGAGCCTCATAACATCTGTGCACAGCATATACTTTGTAGATGGGTGCCAACATATGAAAGCAATTAATAGGGCATCTGAAGGGAGACACCTTGAATGCACAATGAAATACACCAAACTACCCTGACTTTTTAATACCTAGAAAGCAAAAATAAGGATATTTTCCTTAAAAAAGAAGAAAGAGCATTTTTAAAAAAAAACAAAACAAAACAAAAAGGCTGCCCATAGAGGTATGCATTTACTGCTGCTTTAGTAGTTCTTCTGTTGGGCTCTCTGCCGACTACATTCAATACAGACAGTGTTGTGATGCAATCATAACAGTGATCTTGGCAGAAGAAACCAAGGATAAAAAATAGATCAGTGAAATAGTCATTGCGTGAGGGGGATTTTTCCAAAGACAGATGCAAGATATTTTAGGAAAGTACAATACCTCCTTCCGAATACTAAAAAAAAAAATCCAAATACAAATTAGAGGGTGTCTCTGAAATAAAACATCAAACAGTACTTCTGCCTGAGAGAAATTACTCACAAACTTAACACTGGATAAAGTAGAAATGCAGAAAGCTTTAAACACGTGATACTATAAATCTATCGGATTTGAGAACCAAACTGAGCCAGTCATGTGTTGTCATCAACAATGACACAAGTTCGGCTTCTAATTTTATCCTTTGTTTACAGTAAGTGGGGGGTCGAATAACTCTGCATGAATATAATCAAGTCTATTCAAAACACATGTGTTGTAATGAATCTGCTGCATGGTCTCAATTTCTAACTGCAAAATTTAGAGCTTCCTTCAGGAAAAATCATTTGTTGCAAATGCTGCACTGTGGTAAGAGAAAAGAAAAAGAAAAGGAAAATGGAAAAGAAACATGCTGTCTCTGAGTATTCCTTTTCCAGGTTTCCATCACACCCTATATTGCCTTCTTTAATAGAAGCATCCTGTGTCCATGTGACATGTGGAATGTTTCTAAGACATATGCTCCAGCCACTGATTGATCCACACCCACAAACTTGTCCTAGATTTCCTTGCAGCCTAATGATTTCTTTGCTCCCCGGACCACACTACAGAATGAAAAACGAGGCAGCAATTTTGGGGGAATAAAGACATGTAACTTCACAGGATGTTTGAAAAAACAGATGGTGATATCTTGTCCATAGGAGTTTGTCCTTGGACTTCAATGCTGCCAAGATTGCATTTGTTCTTTAAGATGAAAGGCCTCACAGAAATACCTTAGATGTATAACACCTCAAGGCAGGGGGAGGGGAGAGTGGTAGATATTTAGCAGTTCTGTTTGATGTCATTTTTTATATAAGTAACTGATTCCTAATTTAATAAGAATATGATTTGATTTCCTTTTGTGTAGTAATTTATGTTGAAAAAAATTCTCCCTTCTACTCAATTCCAGAAAGCCCAAGCAAATAGGATTTGGGCTGTGGTGATAGGCAGATTTGCTATTTACTCAGCCTTGTGCTGAATGAGGAAGAAAGGAGAAGTATGCTATGAAGTAGGATGACTGTCAAATAATTTACAGCGAAGGTATCTGAGAGCAGCTTGGGCTACTGCAGCTGCAGAGAAAACAGCCTCCTGGCTGGGGACAAATCTAGCAGTGATTCCATCCAATAATTCTATCTGTAAAGAGCTGTCTGCATGTGGCAAAGATGGTAATGACAAACTTCACACAATTCTCTCTGAACTAATTTTTCTTCCCAATTGTCACCTTTGTCACCACCAGCAGAGGAAGGCCTAAAACAGACATTTGTTTCTAGTGGTGGAAATTTCTGAAAAATTTCATCTGATAGAAATCTTTCCAGGAAAGGGAGCAGTAACTTTCCAGGAAAGGGAGCCTGCAACTGTGCCTTCAGCCTTGCCCTCCATGCCTTCCCTAGATGGGTGATCCCAATCTGGCAAAGGCATGGGGAACAATGGCTACTTCACTCCCCCCAGTTCCAGCAGGGTCTAGAACAGCAGGGCAAAGCCCCCAGCCCATTCCCCAGGCTGAGGCCCCCAGATCTGCTGGGTGGGTAGGGAATGACAAACAGATGCTCCTCTGCAGTGGGACTAAGTAGTGGGGCTGTGAGCATATGGCTTTGGGCATGTGACTCTGCAAGTATCACGTGGTGAGAAGTCAGTTAACTTCCCCCTGTCCTGCACATTCAAAGCCAGTGCTCTGTCACAGAGAAGCAAGGGGTGTCACCCTGGAATATCTTTGTCCCAGAGGGGGCATGCTTCCTTTGGGAAAAATTTAATTGATGCTTGTACGCTCCTAGTTTCTACCAGGAGAATGGTGATTCTCCAGGTAGAAACTTATCACCTGTATGTAGCAAGTGGTATGGCTGCAGTTTTTTACTCTTTTCTAGGTTAAGTTTGCATTTATCTTTTCTCAGTTTAAAAAGCTCATCTTGATTTTGTGGTAACTTGTGCAGGTTAAAGGGATGGGAGACTGATTTGCCAGCACTCTTACCTGCTTTGCAAGTACAAGAACCATCTACTGAAGAACAGAGGGCTCCATTTTTGCAGCTACACACAGAGGAACAGTTTACCCCATATGTTCCTGGAGGGCAAGGAGTACCGCAATTGGGACCCTGAATTACGCATAAATATAGTTGAAAAATTATTTAATGAAGCCACAATGAAAGTTCAAACAATAAAATAACTCTGGTATATTATCTACTCCAAGAATTAACTACCTGTAAAAACCCCTTTTTGAAAGTTACTGTTGTTAAAATGTTACCAGTATAAGAAAACTTATAGCCCATGACATATTCTAAGCTGTCATCAGGTCATCTTGGTTTTAAGGGACTGAATTTAGTAGGCTCATTAAATCTACAGTAAGGATTAGGTTTACATTAGCTACTGTGTATGTCACTACATTGAGTTTGACCAGTGTTCAGTACATCTGGATACAGAAACAATTTCAGAAATCAGTACATAGTATGAAATTGTAACTTACTAAAATTAAGTTTATTTAAAAATATTTAAAAATATATAATCTGATTTAAGGATACACAAAACTGTTTTTCTTCCAGAAATATCGAACTATGTCTTCAGGGTGACATTTTTAAGAGTACCAATTCCCATGTAAGAAAAACACCAGCGAGAACCACAAAAATGCATATTATGATGTGTCCAAATATTTATCAAAGTGCGTGGATCTGGGATTTGGGGGGTTGTTTGATTGTGGGGGTTTTTTCAGTTTGGTTGGTTTACTGGTTTTTGCAACATGGAAATCATTTAAATCTACAGATGACTGCCAATGTAGTTGATATTTACACATTTACACCTTAGTAGCACTTTTCCATTCTCTTCCCTCTCCATTACAAAGCAGTCAAGTCTTAAAAGATCCATTTACTAGAAGCTTAATGCAAAATGTTGCATTTTATGGGCCTGATCCTGCAGGATGCCATGGGTACCTGTTAGGAGTTGAGTATTGCTACCTCCCACTAACTTCAGTGCAAGAAGGATACTCGACACCACTCAAAATTGTGGCCATAAGTGAAGGAAAAAAGTTAACTGTGAACATTAGAATCATGTACCTTAAATCCTGGGGCACAGATGCATTTTCCAGTCACACTGTCACAGTCAGCACCATTTTGGCAGCTGCAGATCTGTTGACAAGATTCACCATAGAATCCAGGGGAACATGTCTCATTACAGTAGAGTCCAGACCAGCCAGGCTTGCAGGAGCACTCTCCAGACATAGGGTGACAGCTGGCAGAAGGGGATGAAAGGAATAAATAATTTGGGACTAAATATGACACCCAGGGCCCCGTGCAATTTTTTTCAGATAACAGAATGCTGCTTAAAGGATTTCACATGCTAAAGACAAAGATATGTTTTCTTTCCACCCCCCAAGCTAAACATAGATTTGTAGGTAAATGTAAGCATGTACACATACACAAACACACAATTAGTAAAATGTTACATACATACATATACCCACAAAATCTCTGTGCTTAAATAATTTGGAAAAAAAAAAAGAAAAGAAAATATACAACTTTTCCATTTCTGTGCTGAAGGAACAACTCATAACATGCTTACCATTCATGTCTGTAAATTACTTGCACTTTGGTGAAAATTTCAGTCTTTGGCTATGGCTCCTTCTTGATATCCTTTTTTAAATAATTCAACAGTAACTAAAACTTGGTTATTTTTCATAAAATGGTAAAGATCAGCCTCCTATTTTATAACTCATAACACCATAAAATGTATGCCTTATGTAAGAAACATGATAAATTTCTTAAATAATAAAAGAATGGTCAATGAATAAAATTTAAGTTGTTCGTTTTTTTAAAAAAATCAGTGGTTCAGAAGGGTACAAATAGATTCTCTGTCATTGGGAGAAATCAAAAATCAGAGGTACTGTCAAATCCAATAACCTTTTGGAATGGGACTAGCCTAAAATGTCCATACCTGGGGATACACCAGCTGTCTCTACCTGAAACAGCAGTTTCATTGAATGGCCAGCCAGACAGCTGTTGCCTCATAACAAATGGACATGATCAGCTGTGCTAAGATATATGTGCTGGAAAAGTGGACACAATGGGGTACTCTGTGGCACTCTGGCAGACAAAGCACTTGCTTAATTCTCACCAAAGGAAAGCCTTAATATCCAAATCAAATATATTTACAATGGGAACACTGTTTAAAGACAGTCTTCCATCCCTGATTGAAGTCAAGTCCCCTTAAGCATGCTGGAAAAATGTGCACGAGTCCAGCCACATTAAATGACCCATGACAGCTTGGAAGATTTACATGTCTGAGACAGCCTTAACTTGCTGTGTGTGTGTGCGCGCGCGCGTGTGCGCGCGTGCTTGTGCGTGTGTGCATGCATGCACCTGTGTAACACAGCATGTTTTTGGGTGTTGAAGAATTCATTCTCGTAATCTTTGAAATGGTCTCAGGCATACACACAGAATGTGGCATTAAAGACAATTAAAGGACATATCTTGTCAAATGAAACTCTCTTTTTATGAATACAAGCAAATTGCACTGCATATTAATGATCAAGGAAAGTTTTCTCTACAAAGATCCAGAGTGACAGTTTACACTTTAGTGCTGTAGACTTATTCTATACATTATTTTGCCATAGGCATTTTATTTGGAAATGATCATAATGATATGGATCCAGTTTCTCTAAAACAGCAGTAACTCAGAAGAAAATCCAACCCCATATTTTTTCACTGAATTAAGTCTGGAAGGGTTTAACATACACAGAGACAAATCAAACCATACCAACTAGGCTAAACAGTGTTTGCAAGAAACATTGATCAGTCTGTCCATTAAAGTATTAGAATACCTGAGTTTACAGGGATAGAAACTAAAATATTTTCAAATGAAAGGCATGTTAACCCAGGACACCCATGAAGTAGTAAGACAGGCAGAGATGCATTACCTGACAGAGATGATACCTATTTCTAATTTATTTTCTTTATAAATCCAGTGAAATTTTGGGTATTGCTTCTGTAGTGTAAATCTCTTTATAATTCCCCTACCAACTGCAGAAGGCAGTCAGCAATATGGAAATATTTTAAAACCTACTCAACAGAAGACCTTCTGGAATGAAGTACTAAGAAAAAAATACTGTTATATTAAAACATTTAAAATTGTAGTTCTGTCAATCTAGAAAATAAATTCCTTCTCTTTTTATGAGAGAGGGGGTGAAAGAAAGAGTGAGCACAGTGGATGAGGCAGACAGAGACATTGACATTCCATACCCCCTAGAGAGCGTTAGCAAGGCATACTTGCACATATATTGATTGACACCAAAATTAGTGTTCGGTAATTTGTAATTAGATGTAGGAAGCTGGAGCACTTTTGAAGCTTTTTGATGGGTTCTCATGCAGTTAGCTTAATTGGCAATAAGATTTACGTATTAAGATAGGGAGGTAGATGTTAAGAGATGCTGTAATTCTACCTGCTTTATTCATGTCCTTTTTGGTTTCATTTTATTAAACTAGATATGTGTTTTCTATTATAGGTTATCTGGTAATATATATTAAGTATATTTAACTCTGCAGCATTTTTGCATTCACATAATTTCTGGTATACTTTCTGAAATGCATTTATTTACAAGATGTTCCTATAGCAAGCTGTATGCACACTTCCATTTAATGTTGACACTAGATGGGATGTTGACACGTTGACATTATAAAATTCCATTTTAATGTTGACATTAAACAGTCTTAGACCATAAAAATAAGCCCATCATTTCATCTATTCTCACTCCATACACTCATTGAAGAGAAAGCATTGAAAAAACAAATACACCCTGGACATGGACCAAGTGGGGGCTCTGTTACACTTAGGATCATAAATAATTTCCTGAATGAGCCCTCCCTGCTGAGAATTATTTACGTTCTTCAGGCCAAGCGGCCAGATGATTTCAATTGTCAGGATTAAACAATGATGAGAGCACAAACAAAATGCTTACCAGGTCAGAAATAACTGCATCTTGAATTGTGCTGGTAAACAGTGCACTCTTGGAATGCTGAAGCAAAAGTGCAATGTGCAAAAAAACCAAAACAAAACAAAACAAAAAAAAACAAAAAAACCTGCCTATTCACCAAGTACAACTAGCTGAATGGGCAACTATATTCTGCACATTTGCATGTGTCCAAAATGACCCTCAGATGCTACCCAAACAGGGTTTGCAGCAATCTAGCCTCAGTGACATAGGTCAGGTCTATATACAAAAGAAAAAGAAGAAACTAGCTTCCCCAAAACAGGTGAAAAAGTAATTCCTGAAGCAAAGTTACATTGTCAAATAGGGCTGTGCAAAGCTTTGGTCCCTGATTTGATTTGGTGGAGATTTGGCCCAATTTGGTGGCCAAATCTCCAAATCCGAATAGAATCAGGAGACCCTTTAATCTCTCTGAGTTGAACTGGAACCCTCTAAATCGATTCGGAGAGATTTGGAAAGATTTGACGATTCGGATATAGGCACAGCTTTAAATTTTTTTCTACATCCCTCAAGGTAGCAGGTGGCTCATGAATGCTGTGATGCTGGGGCACACAGAGAATCCCATAGGAGCACGGGAAGTGGGGGGGAGGGGGTCCTCCACATGCTCAGCAACAGACCCAGAGGTGGACCAATTGCTGAGCCAGGGAAGTGTGGGAGAGGGGGCCCCCTGCACACTCCCCAGTGGACCCAGAAGTGGACCAGAAGTGCTTCCAGTCAACTTCTGGGTTTGCCAATGAGCACGCAGGGGGAGGGATGCGGGGCACATTCCTGTGGGATGCTCCATCCATCCCAGCATCACAGGGTTTACAAGGTGCAGTGGTACCTTGATGTATACAGAAAAAACGCTCCAAGCTGTGCTTGTGGCCGAATTGCTGATTCTCTGAATCAGCGCTGAATCTTCAGATTCGGATTCGGCCAAATTGAATTGGGGACAGTGATCTGAATCAATTAATTGAATCACTGTCCCTGATTTGGGCCGAAACTGAATCTGAATTGAATACAGCCTGTTTCGCTCACCCCTATTGTCAAAGGGCTGACCCCTAGGTGCCTCATTCACTGGTTGCTTCAGTGAAACAAGGAATGCCTGCTCCATGTGGATACAATGTAGCTTTCAGTATGGCACTGGACACATGCATGACACAGAGTTTATTACACAGCACCATGGTAAGGTCAGCTACATTACATCCCTCTGAGATGTAGCACATGGGGAGCAGGGGTATCATGATTCACTACAGAGCTCCTTAACAAGGTCCTTTGGTTGTACAGGCATATTCTAGGCAATTCAAAACATGTCAGCTCCAGAAGCAAACAAGAATCTAACAAGACTCAGCTGTGTCCCTGAATAGTAAAGGCATACAGCTGTTTTAATATAAGGGATAGATAACACTTCCACCAGTGTTTCTGATTACTTCCCATATGCTATCAACATTATTTCTCTCTGATCTGAGTTACCTCAGACAGCTAGCTCTCATTCAAGTCTCACCCTTGGCTCCATATAGGAAAACTGACAAATGACACTTTCTCTAAGAAAACAAAGATGAAGAGCTGCATGCCATTTGCAAAGTGTTGACACTGAAGCCTAAATACATGCTAATCAAGAGAAAAAACATAATAGATTTCTCCATGAAAGAACTCTTGGAGCAAATTACAGTCACCCCATACAGCTTTCTGGGCCCTCTCAGAGAGAAAATTAAAAGATCATTTAACCATCTCACTGTGGTATTTAGGCATGTCAATATTACTTCTTGGAGGAGAGCATTCAAGGAAGCTCATATGTGTAAAAGAATCATCTTGGGCATTTGATCATCACCCATCACTTGAAGCTGACCAATGACTATTAAGATTCATGACACTTCCATCCATTACCCAACCCTAATTTCAGATTGACTGGGCTCACAAACTACTCATCCATAAAACGATGATGTAAGTACAGTATCATGAATTACAGGGACAAATACATTTTAACTTGTGCATTTTACCGTGGTATCACATATTATCTTATGTCCTTCAAGAACACAGAGTTGATATATGAAGGCCACAAGTTTTAGAAATAAAATATCATTAGGGATAGGGAGAATATTAAAGCAAAGGTGTAACCCAACTAACAGTTGCATGTTGAGCACCACAGAAGCTCTATCAGAATCTTGGGGTCCTCAGACACACAAACCTCTTGGAAAAGTACCTCCTTTTAGTGTCTATAGATTACTGATTAACTGAGTTGCTTCCCATTATGAAGATCCTGTGGCTA